ATCCCTTTGAAAATCTCTCAAAAATTCACCTTAAACCAAGATCTAAAAAAGTCCAAATTGTGAAATAAGAGAATAAACCCTCATTTTGAAATTTAAGTTCTGCCCAGGTATAAATTCTTCTTCGCGATTGCAGGAACAACTTCCCGATCGCAAAGCACAAAATATCAGGCTGCCAAATTAACACTCCGCAATCGTGGAAGACCATATGCAAACATGAAACATTGCCTCATCAAGCTACGCGATCGCGGAACACACCACGCGACCGCGATGAACAAAAGCGCATGAACCTGCAGCCCCCAAATCCTTCTACGTGAACGTGATTTTCTTCACGCGTTTGCGAATCACTAAAAACCAACCTCCCGCAATCACAGACCTCCTCTCGCAATCGTCTAGAGCAAATTTCCCCTAGTGCCAAACTACCCTTGGGGATCACGTTAATCCACTTGCAATTACGTATAAGGAAATCAGAAGCACCAGATTCAACAATCTTAAATGTTCCGAAATGCGCCGAACATGGTTCGAATCACCCCCGAGGCCCCTGGGACCTCAACCAAATATACCAACAAGTCCTAAAACACGATAAAAACTTAGTCGAGGCCTCAAATATCATCAAACAACATAAAAATAACGAATATCACCCCAATTCAAGCATAATAAAGTTCTACACTTTTAACTTCTATATTCGATGCCGAATCCTATCAAATCAAGTCCGATTGACCTTAAATTTTGCACACAAGTCATAAATGTTATTTCAGACCTACTCTAACTTCTAGAATCAGAATCCAATCCATATATCAAAAAGTCCAGTCCCGGTCAAACTTTCCAAAATCTTCCAACTTTCTAACTTTCGTCAATTAACGCCGAAATGACCTACGGGCCTCCAAATCAATATCCGGACACGCTCCTAAGACCAAAATCACCCTACAGAGCTATTGGAACCGTCAATACTCCACTTCGTAGTTGTCCTCACATGAGTCAAACTACTGTCAACTTCTACAACTTAAACTTTCAATTTAGGGACTATGTGTCCTATTTCACCTCGAAACTCACTCGAAACCAAATCCAAACATCCCAGCAACTCACGTAATCGCAGTATATTATAAAGGAAGCATAATATATGGTATCAGGACTAATCAAAATGATCGACCAGATTGTTACAAATAGTATGGACATGTGGCCACAATATGGAAATCTACCAGTTGCACCTCCTGAAATCAAGACAATACTAGGGAGGCCAAAGAAACTAAAAAGGAAAGAAGCCACTGAATCTAGAAAAGTAGGAAAGTTGAGTAGGTGTGGGGGGCAAGTGACTTGCAGCTTGTGTAAAGTAAAGGGACACAATAAAAGAGGTTGTCCAGCTGTTGTAGGTTCATCAACTGCTGCTGCTGCTTCAATATCTATTCCACATGCTAGAAGAGAAAGAGGTAGAGGAAGGGGAAGTGCTCCACCTGCAGGTTCATCAAGTATGCCATATGCTGGTTCAACATGTGCTTCTGGAAGAGGAAGGCTAGATGAACAGAAAGTGGAATGGATACTAGAGGAAGGGGAAGAGGAAGGAGAACTGGTGGCTTTGATAGTTCAAGTGACTTGGAGGGTTGGTTTAATTGTTCATAGAGGTTTGCTAACAATGCTCCTAAAAAGAGAAGGAATCCAACTGATTCTGGCCCTTTTAAAAGGCCAAGGATGGTGAGGGTTGGTTTAATGGTTACTGACAGTGGATACATTGCTTTTAATGTAAGTATTTAGTTCTACAAATTCAATTTTTGTAGATAATAAAACTTAGATTAACTTGCATTGCTCTTTTTTCTTGCAGCCTAGCCTACCAAGTCAAAGGGTTGTGGATCTTGGAGCAAGAACAGTTAGAAGTTCAGCAAAGGTTACTAGAGACATTGGATATCAGCTGAGAATATGAGTAAAATAGAAAGGAAAGAATTTCAACTTCCATTCATTGTTTTTCAACCAAAAACTGGAGATTAACTCCTACAAACTACAGAGAACTGGAGATTAACTCCTACAAACTACAGAGAACTGGAGATTAACTCCTACGAACTATAGTTAATGTCATAAAAATTTGGAGATTAACTCCAACAAACTACATAGAATTTGAACGATTACCACATAAACAGATAACATATAATCACGCACAAAAAAATACATAAGATGCCTTTCCTATTATAAAGATTTCAGCTTTGATTCAACTTCTCCTTTTGCTTCAACCTTTGATTGATCATCTGATGACCCTATAACTCTTGCTAAACCTCCGTCCATTGTTCATTCTTTATCTATGCTCAATTTCCACCAATTGAATCTTTAATAATTCATAATTGGCTAATCCCTCTCCAATCTCCCTCAATTCGTTCACCAATCATGGAAGGACAAACTTAGAATGCCCATCAATTGCATCATCCGTCCATCGAAAAAATTTACATGGCTTAGTCTAAATTTTAAGGGATATATATTATTTCAAAGTAACCGGAAAATAGGGATAGTATCAATTCAATTGCCCAAATACTTACACTATAGTATGGACACGACCAGAACTGTCTTCCAGGGTTCCTAGTCGACCAAGAAGTTTTCAATGACAACAAATCTCCATGCTTGCAATGCACCTCCACAGTCAACATTAGGTCATGCTCATTCATACAAAGTTGATTCAAGTTAATTCCTTCCATTTCAAATACTGAAAAATGAAGAAATAGCCCAGATTAATTTCAATATAGAACACTAAAAAGTATCTATAAAATATGACTAAGAAGATTAAAGATTGAGGAGGAGAAGTTAATACTGTACAAGAAGGCTGCAATGTAAAAGAAATCCCTTTCGATATACCAAAATCGGACTTCAATGACGGATGAAATCGAGTGTGGAAGAAGAGAAATGATTTTAACCTAATGAAATAAATAGTATATGGCTGTTAAATAAAGGTATGGAAGTGTAAATTATATTATTTGCGCTCTCACAAATCGTGCAGACACACTATTCGCCAGCTGGGCCGAGAAGGTGTATTTTAATTCACAAAAAAATATATACAGGGGAGGGGGTCATAAGACACCCGTATTTTTTAAGGATGCAACTAAAACTTTGGTACAACCCCAATGGGGTAATTATATATTATCTCAATTTACTACTTATTCCTGAAATTCCTAATTAAGTTTGCTATTAATTCCAGAATCGTTTATACATATGTACTTGTATTTATGATGAAGACATATTTTTTTAAGCTAGGATCTAAGACTTGCAAACTTAATGTTCAGGTTATGATAGTAAGTATCAATTGGCCATTGCGCCACTACTTCGTCGAGGTTATTCTTGATACTTACTAAGTATATTGATTCAGTTGTACTCATACTACATTTCTGTATATTTTTGTGTAGATCTAGGTGTTGTCACTAGCAGAGCTGAGGAGTAGATCGTTGCGGTTCTAGAATTTCGAGGTAATGCAGCCTATTCATCCGTAGATCTCGAAGTCACCTTCTTTTCCTATTTTGAAACTGTTGTTATTTTAGACAGTGCTGAATTGAGTTCAGACTATTGTATTTGACATTCTTAGTACTCTTGTACTCGTTGCCACCTATTTCTGGGGATATTATATTACTATTTCTAGTAACTTCGACCGCTAAATTTATGACTCATTCCTCAAATTCCTTATTAAGTTTGCTATTAATTCCAGAATGGCTTACACATATGTACTTGCATTTTCGATGGATACATTTGCCTTTTCTTTTTACTCGGGTCTAAGACTTGCACATTTAATGTTCAGGTTATAATAGTAAGTATTATTTGACCATTTTCGCCACAACTTCGCCGAGATTATTCTAGATACTTACTAAGTATATTGGGCCGGTTGTTCTCATACTATACTTCTGCATATTTTCGTACAGATCTAGGTGTTGGCACTAGTAGAGACAAAGAGTAGATCGTTACGATGCTAGATTACCGAGGTAGTACAACCTGTTTATCCGCAGATCTCGAAGTCACCTTCTTTTCCTATTTTGAAGCTGTTGTTATTTCAGACAGTATTGTATTGTGTTCANTTCAATTTTGTTATTTATTCAGTTGTTGTGTGATTGGTTCGCTTAGCCGGTGTATTGGGTATCATCATGACCATTTGGTGGGATTTTGGATCGTGACAAGTTGGTATAACAACCTAGGTTGCATATGTCTCACGAGTCACGCGCATGTCTAGTAGAGTCTTCCGAATCGGTATGAAAACATCTATACTTATTTTCGAGAACCTATGAGACATTTAGGAAGCTTCACATTTTTTCATTCTCTATCATGCAGTTTTGATTTACCCTGAAGTTTGGATCTTTACTCTTCGATTATCTTACAGATGATGAGGACACGTACGTCAGCCGCAACTGAGCAGGAGCCAGAGCCTCAGGTTGTGGCCTCCACAAAAGGCTGAGGACGGGGCAGGGCTAGCGCCAAGACAAAAAGGAGAGGAGATTGCCTTTTTTTTCTCCTTCCTTTTTTCAAATGATTGTTAATCAACTTACTCCATTTTATACAATGTATTTGTTTTCCCATATTATGGCTAGTCTTTTCATTTGGAAAAACTACGTGAATAGGCAAAAAGGAAAAAGAAACCGTAGTAAAAGTTGTAATTCTAGTTGTTAGGCACAATAATTACACACAATGACGTTCACTCACTGATTTGCCTGTGAGGCTAATTACGTTTGCTCTACTCTTTGCTTACTTTCCCAAGTTTCCTATTTTTTTTTCCTTTTCTATTTTACCTTCCCCAATCCATTTCCTCCTTAAGAAATTATGTCCACACTCACCTGCAGAGCAGAAATTTTAGTAAGATAATTAAAAAGTGTAAATTTGTATCATGAACGAATACACTTAACTACTAAGAGAATCAATAATTTATATATAGTTTATTTTTATTCTAATTATACAATATAAATTTTGTACAAAAGAAATTCAATTCAACCCCATCGATACATTTGCTATGCACTGCCCAAACCACTTTCAAAATACTTCCAAAATTAATAACTTCTTGACAGTTCAACACCATTAAGTCATTCCCCACTTCCATCTTCCTTCTAAACCACCTTTTTAATGAGAAACTGATTCCAATATACATAATACCCTCTCTGTATAGAGATCAAAAGCACAAACACAATTGCTTTCTCACTCCATTTTTTCCCACAAAATTCTTCCCCTAACTCTTTGTTAGCAAACAACACAAAGGGCATTCTTGTTTGTACAAAGGAAAGAAAAGATCATGTCTGCTACTGTTAGTAGTGGGGTTCTGTTCCTCCTTATGTTCCTTATGTTAGTTACAAGTTATGGAGCCTCAAATTCCCATGTGAGTCCTTTCACTATTCTCTGTCAATTCTTGTACAAACTTTGTAGTTATTGTTTTTTCTTTCCAATATTACTCCTGCAAAGAGATTCTCGGCGTAACTGGTAAAGTTGCTGTCATGTAATCAGGAGGTTACGAGTTCGAGCCGTGGAAATGACCTCTTGCAAAAATGCAGGGTAAGACTGCGTACAATAGACCCTTATGGTCCGGCCCTTGCCTGGACCCCGCGCATAATGGGAGCTAAGGGCGGATTTAGGGGGCGGAAGGGGTTCGATCGAACCCCCTTCGCCGAAAAATTACACCCATTGATACAACCCAAAAGTATAGCTTAGTGGTCAAGGGGTTCAAAACCTTTATGAGGTCACTGGTTCAATTCCCATTGACCATAATTTCTTTTAATTAAAATTTTTTCTTTTTTTGAATCCCCTTAGCGAAAATTCTGCCTTCACCACTGACGAGAGCTTAGTGCACCGAGCGACCCTTTTTTAATATTACTTATACAACTACTCAAATATTGCTTTTGGTTCGAACTATGTGTAAATTTACAAGCAAAATTTTCAAATATATGTATATAATATGATCACGCTCATTCTGAACCGTTAATCGTAGGTAAATGGGGCAGAGCCAGAGATGGTACCAGTAATTGAGGAGAAGATGATGGTGATGTTAAATGAGACAAGAAGAAAGCTTGGGAGCTTCAAGATTTGTGCAATCTGCACTTGTTGTGGTGGGGCAAAAGGCTATTGTGTGCCTTCTCCTTGTTGCTATGCTATCAACTGCAATATACCACATAGGCCTTTTGGTTTCTGTTCTTTCACTCCCAGAACTTGTAATTGCTTTGGATGTCATCTCTAAATCCAGCTTCAAATATTATAAAGAAAATATTATATTTTTGGCATTTATTCTGTTTAATTTGATTGGCTAAAAGAAGAGGTTATGTGTAGGTTTATTTTTTGGATTATAATTTAAGGGAGAGCTACTTCCAGGTAAGTTTTTTTCTACTTGGTGGAATTTGTCCCTTATAATTAGTGTTAAAACTATAATTACTTTTTGTTATCACTTGTGAAGTAGAAACATATTATATTATATATAGTTGTGTGTGAGAGTTTTATTGATGCTGCATGTTTCTTTCATTTTTAATAAACATTGCTTAATGAAGTATGTCTATGAGGTTCTGAGTTTTAGGCTTAAGATATGTTTTTTTTGGTCATTAATAGTGGGGTTATTTGGCAAGATTTCAATCTAAATATGTCTTTACAATGTAAGTGGTTGCTTATTGTTGATGTCAAAGGGGTCTTATTGTTCAGAGGTTGATTAACAATTATATTGATTGGTTCAATCTTTAATGTTCTTAATACTGAAAATATTATACATTTGAAATTATGAATTCAAAATAGGACATTTCTTAAAATTTTCTGATAGCTTTTCACACACACATATGTTCATTCAGTGTTGAATATATATGTTGGATCCAATTGAACCAATTGAAATAAGCTAAAGGGCAGCTCGGTGCACGAAACATCAGACGTTCACGCAAGGTTCGAGAAAGGACCGCACTTTAAGAGGTATAATATAAGTAACCTACCCTAAGTGACTGATTCCACCGCATGAACTCGTGACCTATAGGTAATATGGAGGCAACTCTATTGTTACTCCATGGCTCCCTTAAAATTGAAATAGGCTATATCCCCAAAAAAGTTCTTTGTGATATTAATTCCTTCATTATCAAATGACCCAATTTCCACAAGTACCAGCTGTATATAGATAAGAGAAAGAAGGAGAGAGAGCTTTCAATTACATGAAGCAATAAAGGAATTAGATGGGGCTTTTATTATTGGTAGTGAAGAGAATGAATGTGTTATTATCTTTTGTAGCAAATTCCAACAATGATGGGTGGGTGGAAGTTGGGGCAAGGCAGTTAACACAGCTACCATTTGCTATTACAATAATGCTCTAGAGTTTAATGATATAGTAGTACCAATTTTTCTTTTCTTGATTCTTCATTTTTGTTTGCTTCAACATCTTACTGAAGTTTCCTTTTGCTTCAATATTATTTATGTCCACCATTTATTTCTTCTTCTTAATGTTATGCCAAGTGCACAAAAGGCTTTAGGTTTCATCTTGTTAGATTAAATAATGGAGCGAGAGCAACAAATTATGTACTTTTATAATACGTGGAGATTATTAAACTCATCACCGAAAAAGTTGCTCCAAGTCGAATTTTGTTTCACTAGGAAGTAAGGTAATAATCCACGAACTAAATGCTTGTTTTGCATGTGTGTGTTTTTGGAGAGAAGGAGAAGGAGAATTTTCTTCTTTTATTGTATCTTTTAACGTTAACGTAATTTCTACTCACACCAAAGGGGTTGGAATCTAATTCTACACCATCCCCACCCCTTGCTCCCAGAGAGGTCGGAAAATGATCCCAATACCCCTCAAGGACAGAGCTATATAGTCTGAAGAGAGTTTAATGGAATCCTCTTTATTCAAAAATTATACTTTGCAAAAAGATAAAATAATCTCTCTATATATATAACTTTTGAGTCCTCGTGAGTTTTAATTGAATGACTTTTTGAATGATCCTGTCTAGGAGGTATAGACTTATTCTCAAAGGAACGGGATGACTGTAGCTACCATACAAATCTTTCAGTCTCAGTCTTGATTATTAATTAGAGTGTTTAGGGTGTCTTTTTTTAAAGAAGATTTTTTTTATACAATTAAATTATTTATAAGATAATTAAAGTAAATTGCTATGATAAGTATTAATTGTGAGAACATCCTGAATCGAGTTGGATTTGGGAAATCTAATTAGGGTTCTATGAGGAAGGTAGAGAATGCAGATGATTGAAAGAAAATATTTTCGGCCAAGAAAGAATATTTAGCGGGCCTTTTTCTTATTTATATCCGGTCCAGTTATAAGAACTCATTTTTTGCATTCATATTTGCTGCAACTCTCTTGCCTTTACTAAATTTGAAGTTAGGAGGGAATCCATGAAGCTTGTAACACTTATCAATTAAGTGCCTAACTTCTTGCAATATTTACAAAAGAGGTTACTCAGATGTTATAACCCATGTTCACGTACGTTAAATCATGCCGTAAGTTAGTCGATATAAATCGGGAAGGACTATCTTTGAAATGATAAGACGTTAGTCCTAATGGTCTTAAATGATACAAGAGTGTATAAGAGTGGTTAACAAGTATTAGAAGTTGAAAGTTAAACGAATCAACGATGTTGTAACCTGTATTTTTGGGTAAAACTAGAGGTTCTTAATATGCTAAGGAGGTCTTATTTTAAGTTATTTTAATCATATAATATCCGTATCATAAGTCTTGAATTCAAGCTAGTTATGAAATAAAAGTCAACAAAAGTTATCGCAACTTACTTTCATATTTTTCCTTAAAATTTAGGTCTAATGTTATTAAGATTTTATCTCAATGTAATTGGAATAATAGGGTGATACACCTCCCAAATTGAAGATCTAAGAGTCTAGTTTCTAACGCATTAAACCGTTCATCGATACGATGTTGGAGTAGAGAGATAATTGTGTTTTTGCGAGACTGCGCAAGAGCTATCTATGGGGCCCACTTAGGCGGTTGAGATATATTGATATACATGAAACGCCTAAAGCCCCTTTTAACTCATTATTTTTCACGCTCTTCAGTTCCTAGACACCTAAAAAAATCTCTCAAAGTTCTCATGATTCTAGACCCAAACAAAGGGAAAACAACACAAATCAAGTGTCGGAAATCCTGTTGTGCTAGTGAGTTTCTTGTTCTTCTTATTGTTGCTGATTTTGGTGTGGTTCCAGCTCGTGTGAGGGGTTGTTTAAAGTGGTTTAAGTTCTATAAAATACTCTCCAAAGGTTTTTATATTGACCCTAGGTGATTTAATTCTTCCAAGATGATTCTAGTGGTGAGAAACCTGAATTGATTGCTAGTTTCACTTCCTTATTCTTGTGGCTGCATTAGAATGATATTTAGTGGTGAAGTAAGATCAAATTGGAGTTGTTATATCTGTGTAAAGGTAAGGAACCCTTACTTTAAATGTATTTAGGCTTGTCCAAGTTGCGGCTAAGTCATTGAAGCTAAAACTTGTGATATATCTATTGAAAGGCTTATTAATAATGTTGTTGATTAGTGTACTATTTTGGGAGGCTTAATATGATTATTATTGATGTTGTTTAAGTTGTTTGATGATTGTTATAACTTATGAAAAGTCATATAAATAGGGTATGTGCTGTCCGTTTCATCGTAAAATAGGTTGCGATTGATATATACTAGTTATGATGCTTAAGCGATACGATAATATCATTTCTCTCATTGTTGACTGAAGAACCGTAAGATTTGTATAGCTTGAGGTTGGGCAGTATATACAAAATATGTGAGGCTATCTCTTTCTTTATTTTTCATGACTCCGATTGTACATAAGATAACGAATGAGCTTCCAAAGATACTCCACTCTTAGAAGTTAGCAGTACTCAGATTGTTTCCTTTTTATAGAAAGATTGATGTTGATATTGCTTCTTTTATTCTTATGTCTCAATTGTTGTTGGTATTTTCTGATTCCTATAAGATTCATGCCGATGAATTAGCTTTAATAATATATACGGAGGTTACCGACCTTACGTCACTCTAAAAGGTTTAGAACGTGATCCCATAGTCCAACATGCATTATATATATGTATCTATTTTTCTCTACCGAGCCGCACTATAGTCGCCTGGGTATGGAACCTTGTGCAACTATTAATTAGTTGGGTTGTACTGAGCTCCACATGGCGGGGTACGTTTCTACCGAGCCTTATGATGGTGGGGTACGCTTTTGCTGAGCATATTATGGCAGGATAGGATATGATGATGGTTTTGCCCAAAGAGGCATATGTTTTTAAAGGTATATATATATATATATATATATATATATATATATATATATCATGCATTTCATGTCAGTCATCTTTAGAGTCACTCTGATGTTACAGGTTGTATATTCTTTATCCCTCTTTACATTACTGTCCGTACATACTCAGTACTTATTCGTACTGACGTCCCTTTTATTTATGGAGGTTGTATGTTGTGTTGTAGGTCCTGATGTACAAGTAGATGAAGCTCCCCCATCGCAGTATGCTGCCTAGTTCAGCGGTTATTGGTGAGATCCCTTCTCCGGACTTGTCGTATTCTTGGTATGCATTTTTGTTATTATGGGTATGTCGGGGCCCTGTTCCGGCAATGTTACAACACTAATGTTCCTTTAGAGGCTCATAGATAGGTAACATCTCATGTATAGTTTTGGATAGCCTTGTCGGCTGGTTTTTATTGTATAGTCTATCATGGCAGCCTTGTCAGCTCATACCTTATATATGTCACGACCCCAAACGACCTGGTCGTGATGGTGCCTATACTGGGCCAGCTGACACATTTCCAATTTAATCCACATTTTCATTTTAAAACATAAGAAAAACCATTTCTCAACTGAAATCCGATAAAGATATAAAGTCAAAACTAAACAAAGGGAAAAGTACAAGCCCGACCTCGGGTGTCACTAAGTCATGAGCGATGCTACAATAATTCTGAAACAAGTCAAGACCGAAACAGTCTGGAAATAACAACAAAATACTAATAGGAAGATAGAGAAGGAGAAAAATAGGAATGCAGTCAACAGGCAACTACCTCGCTATCTCCGTGAGGTCCGCGACTGGAATAGTCAATAACCGCTACCGTGCCCTGAAATACCCGGATCTGCACACAAGGTGCAGGGGGTAATGTGATTACACCAACTCAGTAAGTAACAAGTCCAAACTATGGACTGACAGGTAGTGACGAACCAAACCTCAATAGGTAATACAATTAAACTGTACAGAAAAGTAGACATGCTTGCAGTTCAAGTAGATGTTCCGTATAACTCCACTCATAAGTGCTCAACCACTCGGTACTTTATATGGACATCCGACCCAGGGAAGATCCATCCCAGAATATATACACATTACTGACCACAATCATCACCGAGGAAGGCCATTCACGCCCTATGGCGAAGATCCATCTCCAGGTATCAATACTTCGAACAAGTCCCATGTCCAGGGAAGATCCATCCCTTAATATCATCAACTGCGCTCATTGGGG